GTACACTGCTGAGGGGAGCAGCTGGCGGGCCAGGAGAGGTCTGCCTCGCCATGTGGCTCTTCTCCAGGGCAGGCGGGGATTGAACTCATGCGGAATTGGCTTAAGTTTCTTTGTGCTGTGCTTTAACCCGCTGCGCCACCAGGTTGGGCCAAATACTTATCTTTTAATTGGAATATTTAGACCATTTACATTTGCTGTGATTATTGATATAATTAGTTCAGATCTACCATTTTCTTTCTTTCTTATTATTCCATTTCCAGCATTCTCTATATCTACTGTTCTTAAGATTATCTAACATATTTTAGAACTTGATTTAAGTTTTTCTATTAGTTTTTGAACATATCTGCATTTTTAGAGGTTGTTCTCCTGATTATAATATACACCTTGCTCGGTGATGGGCAACCCACGGGGATTACAATTGAGCTGAAAAAAAAAAATCTACAAAATGATGTAAAAATAAACTATTATATAAAAAAATAAAATAACTAATAACTGAATAATAAAAAAATATACACCTTAGCTTTTCAAGGTTTTCTTAGAGTTAATCTTTTAATACTTTATGTAATATGAAGAAATGTTGTGCTTGTATAGGGGTTATTAGTCTCAATACTCCACAAAGCAATGTTCAAGTTTTTGTTGAAAATTATGTATTTTAGTGAAGAATGAGAACATTTTCTTTTTTTTTTTTTTAAGATTTATTTATTATGCATACAAAAGTGGGGTATAGGCCAGAGGTGCAGGGGCGGTGAGAGGATTCACCAGAGACAGAGTGGGGAGCAGAACAGGCGGACTGACAAGTACACTGCTGAGGGGAGCAGTGGGCGGGTGAGGGGAGGTCTGCCACGCCATGTGGGTCACCTCCGGGACAGGCGGGGATGGAACTCATGGGAAGTGGCTTAAGCTTGTTAGTGCAGTGCTTTAACCCGCTGCGCCACCAGGGAGGGCCCATGAATGAGAACATTTTCTAAGTCAAAAATTCTTTTATTTCTTCAAGACATATAATACCAGGCTGACAATTTTAATCTTTCAGCCCTTTCGAGATGGTCTTTTGTCCTTAGCTAAGTCGCTAAGTTCATGGACACTGAAACCAGATTGGTCTGGTTCAAATCTGAACTTTATCAATATGTCACCTTGGGCAAGTTTTTTTATTTTCTGAGTTTCCCTACTTGTAAAATGAAGGGTTCTTTACAGGTTTGTATACATTAATTTAAAAAAGAGAGAGACTAGTACAAAAAAAAATGTGCTGAAAATTAGGAGTTTGTTCAATAATTAAGTTTTGATGCACAGGACAACATCTTTACAAGAATGAGTTTTTATTTTCAGTCTTATAAGAAAACAATGTAAAACCTCCATTTACCTAAGAAGGCATAAAAACCTATCAGTAGATAGAGCTGGTAAAATAATTCGATAAGACTGGGTTTTCACCAACAAAGAAAATTACAGTTAAATAGACATTTGGCAAAGGAATTTTTTTAAGTTGTTTACTATGAACAGTACATTATAGTATACTGACAGTCATTGATTTTCTACCATTTTATTGCTTTCTTCTTCTTACTAAAGGAAAACGCAAAAGTGATAGACAATTTGCCTCATTTAATACATTTACTAAGGTCAGAACCACACTTCTATTTCTGAAATATTTTTTAATGGAAAAAAAGAACATATTTGTTAATAGTTATTTAGTTCCTATTTGTTCCTAGAAACTACATATCAGTGATGGTATAAAGACGATTTTTTACTTGTTTTAAAATTGGCTTGTTTTCATAAAAATACCGTCTTTGTCAAATAACACTATAACATAAGGTTGTTTGTAAATCCTGGAAAACATGACAGTACTATCCTTAGATTTCCAGAAGGTGGTACTATTGCTGCATACAGATAAACAGATTTTGTGACCAAAGAAACAGCGATTTTAATTTTTCTTTTATAATTTAGATTATATTGGATTTTCAAAACTGTATTCTAAAGTGTAGTAATTTCCTTGATAACTGAGTCAGCTTACCCCTAGTTCTGCATGGGTTATATACAATAATGAAGGTAGACTTCTCAGAACATTTAATATACTCACATAAAATGTAAATCAAAGGGGATCATTCATTGTGGGATATTTCTCATACTTATTTCACTTATATTATACTTAATCTCTTTCAAAGAACATACATGAAGATATATATATCCACAATATACATACAACATGTATTGCTACCTATACAAGTGCAATACTTTTAGGAAAAATAATTTTAGAGGAATTCAAGCCCATCAAAATATCATTAAAGATGTTTTCAGCCTATATCCCAGGATGACATAATTTTTTTGTAAATAATATCTACAAGGGAGGATGTTGTATGTAGAATCTATAAAGAATGACTCCAAATCAATAATGTAAAGACAACCCAATTAAAAATGAATTAAGGATCTTAACATATATTTCTTTAAGGAAGATATACAAAAGCCCAATAAATACATAAAAAATTACTTAACATCATTAGGCATCAAAAAGTGCAAATCAAGATCACAAGGAACAATCATAATCAGATGACTATAGTAAAAAGTAATAGTAAACCAGCATTAGGGGGTATGAAGAAATAGAAACCTATATACACCGATGATCAGAATTTAAGTGATAAAACAGTTTGGCAGTTTCTCAGAATGTTAAATATCGTGTTACCACATGACCCAACAATTCCACTTCTAGATAGGTACCTAAGAGAAAAAAAAAAATGGGCATACAAAAACTTGTAAATAATGTTCATAGCAACTCCATTCATAATAGCCAGAAAGGAGAACAACCTAAAAGTCC